GGATAAGACAAGCTATGCTGACAGAACTTAAATCTTTGTGCCTATAATGTATTAATGTATTGGACTGAAGGAAGTTTTTTGTTAAATTAACGTTGTCAAGGATCCTCATTAAGCCCTTTTTCCACTACCCTTTGCGTGTCCCTTTGACTGCAGCCCAATCTGGCTGCAATTAGGGCTGGCCAAAGGGTGAGGCAGGTCCAGGAGACTGACCTCAGTGATCTTTCCCTTCTGCCAGTAGCAGGGACAATCATTGTAGCCAGCTCCAGACGGTCCCACGTGTCCCTACACTTACAGCTGTCCTCCAAAATCTTTCTCCTCCTTCCTGATGCCTCAGCCTTGATCTGTGCCTCCTGCCATGTCGCTCTTCTTTCTGTTCCTAACCAGATGACCTGCACTTGTTCCTGCTATTCCTAACCTACACCCTGGAGGCAACACAGCAGGCATGAAATCCTTGTTTCCTGACTCACACCCTTGCCTCAGGCCACATTATCTACATACAGACTGACCAGTCTCCAGTATCTGATTTCCTCTCCTATAGTGCATTGACACATCTCACCACAGACTGTCACCCTAAGACACATTTTGTCTTTTCAGGTCTCAATTTCAGCTTGTTTGGCTTTATCTTTCATTCCGTACGGTCTTAACCTTTGGGCACAACATACACAAACACACACACACAACCCACCAGCTAAATTATGCTGGCCTTTCTAAATCTATGTACATCAAGCTTGTTATCACCCATGACTCTGACACATAGCTATCAGACAACTGCCCTAACTTGAGGGATCCTGGAATTTTCCCAATATTGTAACAATACACTTTGTGCAAAGGATACAAGAAACAGCAGTGGGAAAAGCCACAGAGACTTGGGCACCTGTTTGCTGTGCAGTCTTGCACATGGCAAAGTCTGATTACAAAAAAACCAGTAATCACTAAATTCTGTGGGATGAATGAAGCAGGTTTTCTTAAGATCATTGCAGTCTGCCTCCACATTCATGACAAATTATTTTCCTTATGTTCTTGGTCAAAACCTGCCATTGTCTGTCTAACAAGGCCTGTCGAGCTTTCTCTAGAAGATGTAGTCCGATTTATATCCCAGAGAGTGGCATCAGACTTACCCATTGTAGAAGATTCTAAAGTGAAAAGAATACTGATAAGAAATGTTTTTGCAGTCTGCTCCATCTTCAGACACCTCTTTCTAACTGTCCTTCCCTTTTTCTTAGATTACAAACAGAACTAAATTGGGGGGGGGGGGGGGGGGGGAAGTGTACATGTTTTTTCAAATGATAATTCTATCAAATGTAAAGTACAAACATTTTCACATACTCCAGTTCCTTCTTTAAGAAAGACACTTTTTTCACTTTCTGCATAAAAATGTCAACACCATATGAACTATGACAATGACTGGCCCTTCAAATATGATTCCAGTGGAAGTTCTGGCCCATTCACAACTATGAGCAAACTTCTGTAACAATCAATTTGTAAGAAACAGAGCAGGCTGAAAAGCAGGATTTCCTTTCTACAGGAAAAAAAGACCTGGCTTCAATCCAAATCCCATTGAAAGACACACTTTAAATTTTTACTAACCAAAACCTCTGAGTTACATACAGAGGTACTAAAACAGTGCAGCCTAAATGTCTTCAGTGTTCATATGTGAAAATTATGTTCTCTGTAGCAACAAAGATGCTGACAAGGATGTGAATGTCACTGAGCAGCTGTGGGAACTCCAGGCATCCGTGGTTCCCGGGAGCCCAGTCTCAGACTATCCCTGTGCTAGCGGGAGCGGAGTGGCAGCCCCTCAGTCGGGAGCCATCTGAGAGCAGGGCTTGCAGGAGCTCTGCTCCAGGCCTCAGACATGACCCCCCTACACAGCAGGCCCTACTTGAGTTTCTGAAAACTCTCAGTCTCAGATCCACGTGACTGGGAATTCTGGCTTAGAAGGTCTGGTATGTTTGGAAGCCTTCTGTGGAACTAACAACAGTGGCTGATCTGCCCACAAAACCATCCCAGCCCTGGAGACTCAGAGCATTTAAGGTCCTTAGCTACCAAGCAAAACCTTAGAAAGTATTCCCTGGAGCTGGACTGCTTGTGACTGTAAGGTTCATTGCTCAGGTCACTAAGTAACCCCTGAAGGACTGAACACAAAGAACTGACCAAGTGCTTGGTGCTGGGGAGACACAACCCAGGAGGCTATCCCAGTATTAGGGACTTCCTGTTTGCAGGATCCCTATTTCCTGGGCAGATATTACATAAAAGCCCTAACTAAAGAGAGAATTAATTTTTTTGAGAAATCCTCCTTCTGAATCATGAACACACTTCCCATTAAAGTAATGGGCTCCTCTTTAAACACACTGTGCAAGAGAGTGCTGAACTTTGTCTCCAAAAATTGCAAACAGTTTGAAAGTAGTGGAATGCTGTCTAGTCCAGAAAAGGTTCTCCAAACACAAATTCAACAGCCCCTGAGATCTTTTCAAGACTTCATGATATAGATTGGTTCTATTAAACAAATTTACTTCTGCTTTGGAAGCTTTTTAAGAACTGTCTTGAAAATCATGGGAAGTGCAGTAATATTTACTCTTTAGTTGACAACCAATTTGGAGTTACAGTGCCTGTCTTCCCAAGAAGTCATTATATGTGACAGAGCCCTACTTTCATGGAAAGGGCTAAAACACCTGCCTGCTGACTGCAGGTATTGAATTACTTCTTTATTTTGCTTTCCTTGCACACACAGCTTTTCCTTTATCTATTAAACTCTCTTCAACTGAATTTTTCAATGAATTTTTGCACTGTTACCCTTCTGATTCTCTTCCCATCTCATTCTAGGGGAGTGAGTGGCAGCAAGGTGCTACCTACCAGGGTTAAACAACAGCAGCTATTAAACCACAACAGGATCAATATATTCCCTTTTCAATGCCTGCAAACAACTACTGAGTGAAGTGTTCCCATGACATTCTGTATCCTGAGATAAATCCTCCATTGCATTTGATGACAGAGTTATTGATGTGAATTAAAATTTCTCAGGTTTAGATGAGGTTAGCTTATTGAGGTTAAATTCAGCAATACAGAGGATGCTGGACAGATGAAAATAGCCTTCTTATCAATCTGTATAGACAGGACAATTTCTCAAAAGGTACACACCCATGAATGATGACCAGAGCTCTGAATTCAGAATGCAGCCGGGTTCCTCGCTAATGTAAATGACTTGGTCAGATCACCAGGTAACACTCCATATAAATGTTTTAGAGAGGACTCTTATAATTTCTCTGATATAATACATTATCACAATATAAATGAACAGGAAGCTTCCACATCCAGAAAATTTCAATATCCTAGAGCTGCAGCACACCTCTTCCTACCAGAGATCAGCACAGTAAATCATGCCTAGACCACTACAGTAAATCCTGTCTCTACTCTCTACACAGCCTATCAATGGAATTGCAAACTGAGTTCAAAATCTTGAACTTTTTTTTAATGTCTTACATCTTTTGGCTCAGAATCCAACAACATACACCATGTAATACTGTCACCATAGATACCCCCAAACTAGTGCAAAGTGTGCTGGTACATGGAGCACACAGAGCACATAAGAGCACTCACTAGCTGAGGCTCCATAAAAAGATGTAGCCATATCAGCAGCTTGGTGGGCCTGAGCTAACTATTGCTGCTGCTTCAGTTTCAGAACTCAGCTCTGAAGCACATGGCTCAGTTCTTCTAATTCTGATTTCTGAGCTATCGCAGGACTGTTCCTGTTTATTTTTCTAAAGCACTCATCTCCCCAGAACAAGTAAAACCAAACAAAATAAAATGGAAAATCCTACCAAAATTGGGTGCTATACTGTACATATCTGTCTCTCATAGACAATGATGGTACGTGAAGCTTAGTAATGCTGCTCAATGTTGTTGTAAAAGGTACTACTGAAATTCATTCACATGCTACAAGTCTGCCATCTGTACCTGTTATTCATAGAATATTTCAATGCTTCTCTCTACCCTTTGATTCACCTAGAATTGAAACAAGAAAGGGCCACTTCTTGGGATAAAATTAAGACAGCCATATATGAGCATAAACTATACCATTATTTGTCTGTTAGAAATGAAGTCAGTATTTGTGTTAGTTAAGGAACCGCACTGGTTTTGCACTTAATTTTGTCATATTTCTGTAAAATTTTGGGCAAGCCATAATACCCACATGCATCACTTCTACCATGGTATGACAGAGATAGTACATCCTTTTGTTATGGTTTTGATGACAGATGATGACAGATCTCCAAATTCTTGAGTAACTTATGAAATATTCTAGGCATGAATTAAAAATTAATCAATAATGTAAGTACTGCTCTGTACAAAACCGTATTTTAAAGCACAGAATTTGTACCAAGAAGGCTTTGTTTAGCTTCCAAAACAGACTAAACTAAATCACATTGAGGATATTATTACATACGAAGATGATCAGCATGGAAGTTTAGTATGCAACATCCATTTTCCAACAGGCACTTTCCACACAGAGAGCACCCATGTTATTTGAAATGATCCAATACTACAAAGATGATGGACCCAAGAGAAGACCAAATATAAACCAGTAATGAAGTGTACATGCTTCTCAATACAGTGCTATGCTGCCAGCTACTTGTATAATGACAACAATAATAACCAAGCAGAGCATACACTCCTTTCTCTAGTTCTGAACCAAGTCAGCCCATGAGCAGGAGCACTTAGTAAATGAGAAATACTACACATGGAAACACCCTAAAAACAATGGCTTAGGCATCAAATTTGGATGCAGGCAGAAAAGATTCTAACAAGAAAAAAAACTGAAACGTTTTGTAATACAAGTCTTTTCAGTTTAGTTGCATTTTTACTTTATTAAACTAAGATAGCTATTCATATAATGACTGCAAAGGAAAATATTTGAAAACATAAAATCTTTTTTATCTGTATTCATAATTTTGGAACTCATGCTATACTTTAAGTGGACAGAGATAAAAGAAAATCTTCATTACCTTTAAGCATTGTTCTTCCAGTTGATCCTCCGAAGATATTTAAAAGACCACTTCTTGCTCCTAATGATGTAGTTGCTTCTAGTAGAGCACCAGTTATATAGTTAGAGAGCGCAGTCCTCTGAGAAGTGGCACGATATTGACAGTAAGCACCTGTTACACATGGTTTTACACAAAAACCATCTCCTTTGTATATACAGTCTGTAACAGATGTTGGGAGCTTCCTCAGAAGGTGAGGAATATATTGAAAAATATCTTCTGCTCCTTCCTCCTCTTCTCTCACTGTACTGAAGATCTGTGAAGAATGCAAAAGCATGGACTGTTAGTTCACTTGCTTAGGATAACATACTGAATATAAAAACAATTCCAAATGACCACGACTTCTTGTGAAGTTCAGTGACCTGCAATATCTACTTATCCAAAACTGGTTTGTTAGAATTTTGGGTCAGGCACCCAAACAGGATATTTAAGTGAGAAGTCATTCTGGCTTTCAATCTATGTTTAAAAGCATTCTAAAGAAAACCATTAGATTAAAAAAAACCCACATCAATATACCTCATCAACATTTAAATTACTGAATATGAATAAAATTGTTTATAATACTATTAGATCTGTTGTACTTCCAGAAAACCTTAGAGATATCAGTAGCAGAAAAAACCAGATCAACTCAGGGTTGGCACTTTTTCTTGCTTAGTAGGCGGGGTTTTGCAAACAGAGATGGTTTTAATCACTCTGAACCCTCTTTCAAAATGTTCACATTTATTGCATTACTTCCAGCCTACACACAGGTCCTCTATCTAATATTGGTTTAGTACTCTTTTTCCAATATTTGTGATAACACACTAATGAACTTCAGTCTGTGGCTTAGCAACTAAGTAATGTTTGCTTATTTAAAAGAGTCTAATGATCAAAGCAAGAATCTGGAAGAAATCTCTTCATTTAGTATACAAGGGGAGACTTGATTCTTCGCATTCTTCCATGCTGACTTACTGATTAACATTAATAATTTGTTTCAATGATCTGTGCTTCTTAATTACAAAGCGTAAACTACAAATTAACACAGGGAAATGTCAGCATAACTGTCACCAGGACACGTGGTGACACAATTTTCATGAGACTGATCCCCACCAGTCAAAGATGTGCAGAAGAAAGAAGCTGATGGCTTCATGACCGTTTTTTTCAATTAGCGCCTTGTGTCTTGTTGCCATCCTTTCCCACATATAAACAAAATACAGCTATCCATCAACATGGCAGAAACTGCAGCCAGCCCTACAAAGCAAGCACACATGTGCTCAGTCAAATGATAAGAACCTGTTTGCACAGCCTGTGCGCGCCACATGTCAGAGGCACCGACAGCCTGCCCACGGGACACACACGTGCCCAGCCACGGATCCAGGGAGGGAAGTGGCTCCTAGCACAGGGATCTCACACCCATCCACTTCTGCCCTGAGCCTGGCATTCACCCTGCCAGGTCAGTGAGGAGGGACCCAACTCCCTGCTCCATGAGGGGGATCTCACCCTCCACTAACAGAAGAAGTGAACAATGATGTGGTTCCTTCATCCATGTAAACAAATTGCAGAAAATCAATTACAATTTAATCTATTAAGTAGATATTTGTTATCTTAGCTTTAATTTTTGTAATAACCACCTTTGGGGGAAAACAGTAAAATTTTATATTAAAAATATAATAATTCATTAACTAGTAATGTAATTCAATGATCTGAAAAAGAACACTGACATATTTATTAAGATAAAAAAAGAAACTTTCACATGTTGACTGTGGTTATATATAACTCAATCCCTTTAAAAGATACCTTCTGTGATGCACTACACTACTCATGCACTACACTACAGCATGAAATGTTGTGGCACCTTTTTTTTTTCCCTCTCCCTGCAAATCTTCCAAAATTTTTTGGTCTGAGGTTTCTAGAAATATTACACCTGCATCTTTATCTTCTTTTCTTTGCTATCTGGCAGTTTCACAGACTTTTAGACTGTCAGTATAGACACCTCATCACCTTAATTCAGAAAGAAAATGTGTTCTTAAAGGGTGCCTTACCTGGATGGTATGTGTATAGATCTTTTATTTAGCTAACTGTCTGCAAGTACCTTTTCAAAAGGTGTACTGTGAAATAGTAAACCTTTGGACTATAAGTGTGTTACACACAGTAGACAGAATTAGTCTTTTTAGTTTGTTTTAAAAAAATATTTAGTTAATGAATATAATTTAACTTCTCAAAACTGCAGTTACCATCCAAAATATTTTCTAAATTGGGCTCTGCAACTTATAAAGGCATGTTCTGTTGCCTACACAACTAAAATTTCTTTCAGCTGCCAAAGCAAAGAAACTATTTGTTGACAGAAATAGGCGACAGTGTTTTGCCGGAGAGATTATACATAGAATAATGGTGTTAATCTCTTCAGTGTAAAGTAGACTTTGGGGCACTAGCTGTCTCCAAAGACTTTGCACATCACATAACATTTTCAACTTCTGTTTGTTTTGATGTGTTAAAGTTCTGAGCGTGTTACTTCTGCTGCACACAGATGAGGTTACGAAAAAATACAGACTTACAATGTGTATACTTGTCAGCCCCTGTAAAGAACTGAAACAATCAGAATAGCAACAAATCCCTCAGGTAACTGACAGGGAAAACCACCTTTCAGAGAGATTGCAGCAGACAATTGGGAAATTTAATCTTGCCTGGGAGACAAAGAAGTTTATTCCCAGCCAGAGCTTACAGTTCATCCGAGCAGAATCCAGATCCTATTGATCCATGCCACTACCAAAGAATGACTAATGTAATTAAAAATGAATGTGAACCAAAAAGAGTAAGATGCAGCACTGAACTGAAAGCTACCCATCAAGAAACCAAGCCTCACTTTTGCCTTACATATCAAATTAAAGATTTCAAAACGATCTGCAGTCTGATGTTGCCGTGTCTCACTTACTGCATACAAAACAGTAACTCAAAAGAAACTCAGGACAGTATCTGACTCTGAAAGTGTTACAATACTAAACATTCTGTAATGAACATACAACACTTTTAAAATAAGAAACAAGATGAAACAGGAAACTCCATATACTAATACACCAGTATTCCAATAAGAGTATACTATGGCTTCAATAGCTTTTAGTTTCTTTTCTTTTTTAAGGAGATTTTAATGGTAAGTAAAAAGAAAATAAAAATTACTTGCAACATACAATATTTCTGATTTCTAGTAGAGAAAATTGTCCTCCAACTCAAAAATGAAAATTAGCATTAAAATAAAGATTAATTTCAGACAGAATTCCATCCTTGCAGCTGTACAACCAAGTCTATACTTGGAAAATGCATGGAAACAAAATAGATTATTCACTTCTTAATAATGTATGAAATAAATTATCAAAACTTTACTTTTAAAAGCTCCTCAGTTTTGCTTCTAGTAACTTAAAATGGTATCTGCAAGTTAACTTATTGATAACCTTCAGGCAATAAAAGTTTCCTACAGTGGCGACAGACATATTTTGCTAAGATATTAAAAAAATCTTTAAAAATAACTATAAGAACAAGCAACTTATGCTAGCCTTGAAATTATTCCTTAGTTTTCTCTTGCTATCTTTTTTTTTCTGTTTAATCATCACGGAATTGCAAATTGAATATGTCCTTTTCTCCACAACATTACTACAGCTTTACTGTGTAGAAATGGCAGAAACCTAAAGACCGCAGCCACTTACTGCCCAGTTTATGACACATATTCCCCCAGAACAAAGCTGGAGTTCATGGGTACTGCTGTACTGGAAATATCAGATATAGCAGTTCATAAAAAATAATTGTGATTTCTTACTAAAATGCACATGTATCTCTTACTGTAGTCTTTTTTTGTTTCTCTTTTCATATTTTTTCTGCCTCAGGTATTTAGCTTAGACCTTGGAGGCATGCTATCATGTTGTCAAATATCTAGCTGCTGCTGTGCTTTTGAAACCCAGAAACTGGAATTATGAACTGACTAAAAATGTCCCATTTATTAGGCAGCAGAATATTTACAGAAGAATGTGTGTACCCAAGAATTTCATTGCAAAGAATAGTCATGAAAAATTATGCTTATTGCTACTACAATGTAAAAATATGAGACAATAGGGTAATGAGGTTTTAATACTTCACTGCATCTGTCCAAACACTCTCTAAACACATCTATCAAGATATCCTGAATAATCAAGATGAAATACTGAAATGTAGGAGGTGTGTGCATATGTTCAGTTGGTACAACACATTTCAGACTGATTTCCTGGCTGTTCACCTACAGAGCACTTCTATGATGGAGGGCTGCTGACAGCAGCCTGTCTTCATTTGTTGCACACTTTTAAAGCATTTTTAAATGCCTGTAAGCCATAGTGGTATAATAACAAGTAATAACTCTCAGGACAGTATGTGTTGAAGATCATTTAAATACCTCCTTTGAAAACACAAAGGTTTTACAGAACATACAAGCCTAAGCACAATTAACAGCACAGGAAATGCTGCTCTTTTCAAATTTGTTCTGTTCCAAGAAAAATTACATTAAAGTGAGGAAATTCTGTGAGTGAATTTTCATTTTGGCCTTGCAGGTTTTTCAGAAGAAAACCCTTACTAAAATTGGTCAAATGAAGCTAACAGTGATCTCTTGGAAGTCATGACCAAGGACCATTCCAATTGCTTTTACATGCATTTATTCTATCATTTAATTTGGATATATATAGCATGGAATACAAGCACAGTCTGCTATGCAAAAAAACACCTTTGTCAGAAAGAAACTAATATGCAAAGTGAACTTGGGTGAATGAGGCATTAATGCAGAATTGGTCAATATTTGAGTTTTATGTCTTCCAAAATGATACTCCAGCATAATACTTCTGAGCATATATTAGTAAAAAATGTAAAAATAGGTACTGCTGATAGTTAATTTTCTGAAGTACACTGGATTTTCTCAGCTTTATCTCATTCAGGTTATGACCATACCCTCACTGATTAGTTCATGACATTTCAAGATCATCGCTAAAGTACAAATCTTTAATTCAAGGTCTTTCTAAAATATGAATGTCTTGTAACAATTTCTGACTATGTATCAATTATAAGAACTGAAATACATTAAACACCGAATGCATTTTTTGTTATCCTTACAATAGTGTATATGTTTGTCTTTCTGTGTACATGATATTCTCAAGAGGACATGCCAGAGGCCATATCTCAAACAGTTGTGCAGGTTGTTCAAAGCCGAGGGATTTTACTGTGTTTGACAAAGAGGATGCTGAGAACAGCTGAAAGGTCTGCTCTGTC